CTGCAGAGGACTTCCAGGTCTCCGTGATTGATGGAAAGCTGCAGAGTCAGGTCTCTTGGGACCTTCTGAGTTTTGAGATTAGTGGGACCCTTGTGGAGTTCCAAGTGGCCTCTCCCTACAGCTCCTCCAGGCTTCTTCTGGACGTTCCGTGGGCCTGTAATTTGAGCCGCGGCAGCAGCTGTGCGCTGTGACAGACCCTGTTGTTCCTCTTTGTCAGGGGGCTTAGCTTGGAGATTGTGGGGGTGCTTGTGGAGACTGTGGCTGTCGTGTGGGATTCGTGCTGCCGCAGTCAGACCCCCACCAACCAGATTCGGGCTTCGCAAGCGGGATGGTCGAGCGACGATGCCGACGTCCGCGAGGCTGCGCAGGCCTGGGCTGGGCTCCTGCCACAGACAGCCGCTCGGGTCCGGGGGGAGCTCGTGTTTAAACAAGCGGCGCTGCAGCCGTGTGCCCAATGGCTGTTTGCGAGATGCCCCCCGCTCTCTGAGTGAGCGAGTGTGCTCTCAGCAACAGCTCGAGGGGGCTTGAGGTCAAAATGAAATACTTCCACTTGCAGGCAAAGCTGCCTGTGGTTTTCTTTGGGGGGGGGGGGGCTTGTTGCTTGTTTTACATCTGAGCTCCATTTTGGTGTCAAAAGGGGTGGTCTCACCTAATTTTTCGGCCATCCCTGTGCCGGGGTGGAGTTTTTAAAAGGCTGTTTAGCATTTCTGTCTTTTATCACACAGCTGAAATGCCGTAATGCTCTTCCAGTTATGTGTGGGGTGAAAACAGCACAGAATGTGAGCTTACTGGCACGTCCAAAATGTGTAATTGTTTAGCTGTTTTGCTTTTTAAACAACAAGAAACAAAACGGAAAAGAAATTGTCCAAGATAAACACTTTAGCCGAGAAATACAAGCTTGGTCAAGACAATTTATTGATGTAATAATGACTCCAAGCTTTTCTGTTTTTCTGAGAATACTGAGTACAGCACTAAACAGCCTTGAGAGAGGCCATCTCCAGTGAAATTATCTGGCTGTTAGCTGCGTTGGCTGCATGCTGGTTCATTAGGTAAATTTACGTATCATTTACTAGATTCTGTTAGAGAGAGCAGGGTCATGCAGTCCCTGGAACAATTGGAGGGCAAAGTGAAATCGTTCTGAGATTTGAACCACCAACTGTCCAATCATAGGTACTGGAGAAGAGTGTGTAAAGTTTACTTCATCGCCCCATGGTCCTCGCAGTGTGTGATCGTGTGTGTTTTTGTGCTCTGGGATGGACTGGCACCCAGTCCAGGGTGTCTCCTTTCTTCATGTCCTTAGCTACCTGGGATAGGTTCCAGGCACCACTGTGACCTTGGGCTGGTGTTTCTCCACAGAAATACCAGTAAGGAGGAGGATTGATGCTTCGGACTCTCTGGTTTGACAGTAGTGTAAGGCAGTGTTTCCCAGCCCAATCCTTGGAGGTCCCCAGATGGTTTTGTTCCCACCCATCTTCCAGCAAAAACGTGGATGGTCTGCGGTCCCTGAGGACTGGGTTGGGAAACACTGGTGTACGGGATACGACTGTGGGCTGGTATCTGGAAACTTATTAGCTCAAGCCCAAGTTCTGTAATCAAACGTGATTCTGTCAGATACTCGTCTGTTCAGGTTTAAGTAGCTTTAAATGAAAGTGTCTGACTGACTAATCTGGTTTGATGGTTCAGCCATCGCTGCGCAGTGCTGATGGCTTCCTTAGTCGTGCTGGGCTGTACTGCCTAATGTGGGGGTGGGGTGGGGTGGG